TGCTAAAATAATTCTAAATGACATACGAGAAACAAAAATTAAGATTAAAATTCAATTGCTCTACCGTAAACTAAATTTTTTGTCCTACTTAACAAGCTGTTGGAGAAATTTCGTAATTTCTTCATCAACCATCCAACGACAGAGCGTTAACAGTTACAAACTCTTAAAATTTAACAGATTTAAATAAAAAATAGTTATTTCACTCTATTCAGTTTGAAAGCTACTATTTGGCAAGGCTAGTTTTATTTTAAGGTGACAAAAGCGGAGGTTGCTTCAAGAATAATAAGCAGAAGGCATTGAAAATTACGTCACAACAACTGTCCTCACCTTTCAATGTCGAACATCGAAACAGTGCTGGAATTTTGACAAGTTTCGCCTACAAGGTGTTTAGATATCTCATAAAAAGTTGCAAAATGGTGACATTCACGCACTGCTAAAGGATAAAATCGTACCGCGGGGGGGGGGGAATTCGGAAATTGAAGCCCACTTTTCACGGTAACTAGTTAATACTGCATTAATTGATGGTTAAATCTAGACAAATGTGTCAAAATTACAAGGAGTTGCGAATAATTCAAATGCATTTTAATTACAGATAACATGGATATAATTTCAATATTAACGATTTAAATAATGTACTAGTTGTAAAACCTATTCTCCATACCATCTCATTATAAAAATCGCAACCTATAAAATGAGTTATATTCATTTAACCAGCATAAATTATTGAACAAGACCATGAAATGTACTTGTGATGACACAATACTCATTGAATACATGCATGCCCACCAAAGGTCGAGTGCTGAGAGTCCCTGAAGATTGGTAATTCGACCTGGGTTCGATTCCAGGCGAACGTTCCAGTGGGCGTTTTCGTGGTTTTCCTCAGGTGTAGCGTGGGGTCAGTTCCCTTAAAAAGGCCTCCACGAATGCATTCTTCCTCCCAGGCAGATGGTCCTCGCATGCTTCGCCGTCATGGAATAAACCAAAATAAACCAATCGATACAAGCACAGTATTACGTATAAATAAAAAAATTAATACGTTAGAAATGCGCCTTTGTTGCGCTTTTACAATTTTATGTCGATGTCGAAGAAGAAATTTTATTTTTAATGGTAGAACTAATTCAATATAATGGATATCAGAATAGGTATACAAAACTTCCTGATCATAAATCAATTAGTTGTAAAGTCATCAAGTTTTTAAATGTGAAAATATTTGCCATATTTTGACATGTACACTTTGCAACCTCCCTCCCTATGAAAAAGGGAATAGTTCTATATCTCCCGTTCTACAGAGCCAATTAATGAAATTTAACTAGCATTTTCCATGCCTCGAAAGCGCGACATAGGACATATATTAGATTTATATATAGTATTGTCCTAACACACAAAATTGGACCTTTTTCTGAAATATAATACTAAGTTTTTTCCATATTTCGATTCTACGACTCATATGCCAAACTGCCAAGTTTTGTGAAAAATCACACGAGAAGTTTTTAAAAAATTAGCTCTAAAACCTTTAGCACCTCAATCTCCCCCTTTTTCCCCCTTCCTTCTTTCACAATTTGAAATTTATGTTCAATTCAAACAAATTTCGCAGATGTTTTCCGTTTTATTTTTTTTAATTTGTATTTTTTTTTAGTAATTTTTATAAATTTGTCGAAAACATTTTTTAATTATAACCTTTAAAATGTTTACCATCACCGTAAAGTAGATGTATTTCTAAGCATATCTGCAAAAAATTACAGCTTTTTATTCTAAATTTCCCAAGATATACACGTATTTATATACTAGTGCGTTCTGAAATTTGGCATATTTGTTACAAGTGATAATAATGCCAAATGTATTTCACGCACTTTGTTAAAATTATTTGAAAGCATAAACGATGCGCCTTTTTTTTTCCTCTCGTGCATGATGAAAAGGAAAGGAAAATAGGTTATTATAAATTAAGAAATTCGCCAAGTGATGTATTCTTGGCGCAAACTGAAGAAACGCGAGGAAAGATAAATTTTTAAGTTTCTAAGTCGTGTCTTACCAAGTTTAACAAAATTTAATATTTAGATATAATTCGAGTTGTAGAATCGAAATATGGAAAAAAACTCGGTATGTCATTTAAGTCCGATTTTGTCTCAAAATACCTCTGCTGGACCAAAGCTATACTATGCAAATCTATAATATATCCTACGTCGCGCTTTTGAGACTTGAAAAACCTAAGTTAAATTTCATAAACTGGCCCAGTAGAACGGAAGATCTAAAACTGTCATTATTTTTTTTTTTTTCCATTTCTGAATTTCTCATTATGCTTGGTGTATTTAAACCAAGACCGAACATAAAAGTATTGGGGGGGGGTAAGGTGTAAAAAAATATACATACGGACGCGGAAATCTTGAGCACTTAAGACCTTTAATGATATGGCGCTGGCAAGTTACCCCCATGAATACGAGGAATTTCCTTTAAAGCCTTCGTTTTAGGCAAACAGGCCTAGTTTTCTTTTTTTCTCCCTATGATCTTAACAAATCCAGGTTTACTGACAGAAATGCACTTCAAGTACGACTGTTTGGCGGATTTTATGCCAAATAACCTCACCGGTTATAATGTGCCTAACACAAGGTCAACGCACTTCAGCATGAAAACCTATGCTGGAAATGTCGATACCAAAAGTCTACTGCAGGGGTCTCAAAACGTTTTAGTTCGCGGAGCTCTTTCACGAAGCTTCGAGGGACAATACCTAGTTAGTTCACTACAACACGGTGAAGTAATACTAATGAACATACACTTAACAAGACAGGGAGATTGTTGGGATTGGATCTACATGGCTATGATATCACTAAGAGATATTTTTCTTAGACTTTCATGCAATTTCCCCTAACATAAATTCCGTAAAACTACTTATATATTTGTAAAAATATTCTTGTCTCAGAATATTAAGAGATTTCTTCGGCTTGCAATGTAACTTTACGTTTTATGTAGATTTACTTCTCCCCGTTGTAACAATTTAATAGCGAATTTCTTCGATTTTGATCAGGTGTAAACTTCCGCTCATAGGTATTTCATAATTTGGGCAACTTTTGCCTGGGGGAGATCTATAAAATTAAAGTAAATTACAACATATACGAACAAAAATTACGATTTAAACAGAATCCCTGCCGAAAATTTCTAAGCATAGACATTTAATATTATTATGAAAGTAGGTAAATATAACACGCGAGATCTTCATTCTCACAAAAAAATACAATATTTTTTTTTAACAGAATGTTGCTGTATTTCACTTATTGTAAACTTAGAAACGATTGTATAATATTTACAATATGCTTTATAAAGAAAGTGCATGGCAGGTAATGTACTAGACTGCATAGACTGTTTATTATAAGAGTACAAAATAATATATGTTATCAAGCTTACCTTAAATTTTATAAAACTATTTAAAAACCTTTGGCGGGCGGTCCGTAGTTGAGGGTCTGTTGTAATAGCTAGTAAGACACCGTGAGAGTCCTAGTCAAGCATCGAATATCAAATAATCCACAACACTTTGAAAGAACTGGGACAGGGTTTCAACATGTAAACGTCCTCAACAAAGGGCTGGCACACCGTCTCCACTTAAGGACGGAATTTTAAAAAGCAAAGTTTCTGACAATTACAGTGATATAGACTACAGGACAAGGTTACGTTTTTTGAAGACTTTTCTGTCAGAAATATAAGCAACATCGAGTCTGTTCTTATGATTACAATAAAATGAGTGTGTAACTATTTCCCCTTCAGAAGGCGACTAATATCAAGACGCTAGAAAACCACTCAAAACAGCAAATAATGACGAAAAAATCTAAAGTGTAAAATTCTGTGAAGAGAATGAATGACTAGCTATGCAATTTATCCGTTCTCCTTAGTGCTTGGCTGACAAGATTTTCATGAGTCACTACTCAATGGCATTGTTAAATAGAGCGCGAAAAAATTTTTTGTAATATAATCGATATATTATTGAAAATACAGCTTTTTAACGCAATATGGACATGCATGGAAGAATGGATTTTCATTAACTAGTAATCTGAATACTTTCTTATAATTAGAAACTGAGGTCAAGAAGGTATTAGAATTTTGTAGAGCAATCTGGAGTTCAGGTGATTATGGACCTGCAATAAATGCTGGTAATTCAGCGCCAGGATGGCTAAGTAGAGTGCGTAATTCTTAAATGTACAGGCGCATTTACACTTGCTCAACAGACTTGTGCAAGTTGCAACTCGATTATCAGCTGCAATACAATTTGCCTAGTGGTGATCACATAAAAAGACAGAAATTTTCAGACTATGAATTCTTGCCATAAAAATTAACTTATCGATGAACGGGCATATTGCATTATGTGCGCGAGTAAGTGGTTATTTTTGAAACATCAAAAATGCGAATTACTTAAAAATTCCGATAAATATAGCGCAAACTGTCGGATTACAAGCTCAAATATACGCATACTATATACAAAGCTTTGGAAACGTTTCTATTTAACACTGTTGTACAATTCGAAAACGGTGGTTCGGCAAATAAGCTATGGCTCACTTGTTTCTGAAAATTAGTTTAGTAAAATCTTAGAAAATATTGTTAGAACATACTTATCACAAACAGAACGCAACATTTCTTTCATTTTCAAATATGATAAATTAGCCAATGGAAATGCTTATAAATGCAGAATCAATGGCACATTTGCTTATTTTATATTTCCACAAACATCATTATTTCCCCTGTTTTCTGCAAATTAAAAGTTTCGTACTCACTTCAAGTGTTTTAATGAAGCCATTTTGCTCTCCATTCTCTTGTGCAAGTTAGTTGAACAACTTAGAATGTCACTTACATGTTAGTTGTTAATAATTCGCATACCTATAACTCAAGAGGCGAACGCATATCCACATCAAGTCTGCCAAGCAAGTATTAATGGCTTATAAATGAGTTTTACCACAGTCTTTAGAATACAACTTCTCAGAGAGAATATTGAAGACTGCATCCGGCAAATATTTAATTACCTGTTGCATTTTTTCAAAGTCCAGGCACGGCCGCTGGATGGCTTGGCCGGTGGGGGTCCTTCGATGCCTTTTTCGAGGAGACACCGAACACAGCTCGTGTGGGGGTATATGAGCCTGGCGCAGACACTTGCTGGGTTTGTGGACGTCAGCCGGCGGCGAAGTCCTGAATTCAACGGGGCAGCACACGAAGAGCTCTTCCTCGTCCTCCTCAGTGCCACCACATCCCCACTTACGTTTCTCAGGATGGTGGTGGTGAAGGAGGTGCGGACTACCGCTGTTGATCACCTCCAGTTCCTCTTCGGAACTATGATGATCAAAGTTGTGATCGCTGTCGGAGGGCAGCGCAGAATCTAAGGCCGCATCAGGAGACCGGTTGTTGCTCGTCCTCCGTCTGTGGTGGTGGTGGTGGTGACGGTGGCGGAAGGGTTCCGTCGTATTCCCTCCCCCTTCATCACCCGTTGTCACCTGGTGTAATGGTTGCTGCTGCTGTCTTTTAGATCGCCGGTTGTCACTGTGACGACTGCTTTCAATATGGATGATGCTTTCCATATCTGAAAATAAACCACGTTTTACAAGACCTCATAAATTTGAAACTTTTGAGAGATTTCAGTAAAATACAAAGCAATCCATAAATAACTGGAAAAATCTGCTAAGAGCTTGCAAATAAATTTATGGTTGGATTTAACATGTCTTTTAGCCTCGGTAAAATTCTGAAGAATACCAAAGTCAATATCACTAAGTTTATCTTATTTTCTGTTCACAAAGAAATACATTTTAAAGGTTAAAAGGAAAGCCACACACATATTCTCACATTATACACTTTTAGATATCCACATAGGAGGATTAATTATCGAATCATAACACCGTCCGACCGCAACGGTTCTTTCAATCGATCAGCTACGTGACAGTAAAAATGTCTACAACAGCAAGCACATTTGATGTTGTTTGCACTGCACATCTGGAATACTTAATACGATAACAGAATAAGGGTATTAGTTGAAGCTGTCAAATTCAGACTACAGTTTCTAGTTATGTAGTTCTTTAGCTAGTTACAGAAAGACTATTCTGTGACACAGGAGGGAAATACGGGTTTCCAGCTGAGTCGATTGGACCTCCTGGGGCTCGATGAAATTTTATAGGGGATCACTGAGAATCATGGGATCGACTAGAGGTCGACAGCTGAATATGGACCACCAAATGATAGGCATAATCATGATCCCGTTGATTTAAAAAAAAAAAACTTAAATTGTAATTCATTATTTATCGGTATAATTACACCATTATTATCTTCAGTTTCCGTTTTAAAATTTACTTATTTATATCGACATCGAAACGAAAAGAGTTCGATTGTATTTTTTTGTTCGTGTTAGATAGGATTGTATTTCCTCAGAAGATATATTGCTATATACAGGACACTAGCAAAATTTCAAACAAGATTTCAATGCTCGCTTCCAAGACACTGAAAGTTTGAATGTGTCAACATGGCTCCCAGAACCGCGGAAATGCCATAAATCTGATTTTGAAGAAGAGTTAATTAATTTAAATGAGGATCTTTAAGCATGAATCTTATTCAAAACAATTTAAAATCCAATTTTTTGTTTTTTAAATTCAAAATCTGGCAGAAGTATCCCAAAATAAAAATAATTTTCGAGCCAGCATTATTGAACTTCTCCCTCTTTAACCTTTATACAGCACATTATAGAGAAAAAATGTAAGGGGTATAGATGAAGAAAACCATTCTTTTAAAAGGGGATCGATGGAAAAAAAAGCTGGAAATCCTTGTGTGTGTCTCTTAATAACAACTAAACTGCTTACCTGTAGGCAGCACGCATCTTAAACTTCAATATAACTGACAGGATATATAGTTACTACTAAACGATCACTAAAAATTGTCTTCGTACCAGTGCTATCACTTAATAAATTAGAATTAAGATTTATATTACCATTAACTCACCAGTAACACCTGAAAGCTAGCATGTTAGTGGTAGAATTACGAAAGTAAATGTTCTTCGGGACTTACACTGAGCTTAAATCCTAATTAAGTCATCCTAAATACATAATATGAATGCATTAAATATATTAAATATACTTATCTATATAAAATAGTAGCATTTGCGTCATCTAGCCCAGTGCTTCTCAACCTTTTTTTGTCCGCAGACCGGTAAAACTTACCATAATTTTATTTAGTACACCAGTTAGTGTGAGGAAATTTTTAAAAAAATTCGCGAACCGGTGGACCCCCCCCTCCTCAAAAAAACTTTACAAGGTATTCAAGAATTACTACATAAATTAATTGTAATATTCTTATTACCATTTCCTGCAATCATATTTAAATATAAAGATAAGTAAACATTGTAATTATTACATATCAGTATAATTATCATATATACGTAAATAAACCTGTGAGAAAAATCACACTATATTACAAGAAAATAATCACAAAATCCCTTGCATATAAAAACGAATCAGTGACGGTCCCTGGACAAGCGAATGAGGATCCCTTATCTACCATACCTGAAGCGCCACTTGTCAACCTCTTCTCGTCCTCAAGTGGCAACAACTGAAATAATCTGAATTCATAACAATGATTTCGTTGGAAAGAACATCTCTACAAACAACACATTCAGATTTTGGATAATTTTCTTCTGATTTTGGCCAAAGGACAAAAATATATTTCAAACAGTGTGCGATATAGTGCCTTACAGAGCTTTTTCTTTTTTTGGCAGATAGTGGACTATATTCATCTTCATCTGTATTCGAAGGGGTGGACGACGTACTTGGTTTTGGAGAACCCTTTCTTTGCACGAAATTTAGTAATGTGCTTTTCGTTTTATTCTTACTTATCCTGTTTATTGATTTTTAATCTACCTAAAGTTGAAGAAATATTAGTTATAGCACAGTATTAAATTCAATGATTATTAAAAACTTATGCTGATGTATAGTTTTCAGTTGTCCAAGCGTGCAAAAGAATGTAAGCAAGATAAAAAGTGAAACCTAACCTTTGGCGCCTTAAACACTACAATAGATATTCAGCGTTCAAGTAATCAGCGATACTCAAGGCAGACAGGGGCACACTAACTGGTGCACTAAGTGTACTGCACGACAATTTATGAAAGGCTATTAGGTACATAGTTGCCAGTTTGTTATATTTTTCGTCATCGATCATATTATTTTCTAAACTAGTAAACTATTATTACTGTAATGTAGATACTGTTGTTTGTAACATCGGCTGTAGGCCGATGACACTTTGGTTTTTGGACAGATAGCTGAATATTTCGCGGACCGGCGGTTGAGAAACACTGATCCAGCTTATTAAATAAAAGACAAATCGTACAATGGGTAAAAGTATTCCAAATATCATGGTAATAATGTCACATAAATCAATGAATCCCTCTTCGTAAACTAGAAGAACGAACGTTGGAAGAATACTGCCACAACAATGGATTTTAGACGGTGATTAAAGCAATAACAACGAATGCTGCTCAATTCTAGTCCCAAACAAAAACGCAAGAATCCTCACAGAAAACATTCAAGAGCTTCTGAACAAAAGAATCAGTAATTCATACGAACTGCTGAAAAGGTTATTACAGCGAAGAAATGGAAGAAGCTAGTTTATGTCTTTTGCAGTGAACCAAAGTACAATTCTGAGGATTATATATGACTAGCTTCCGTATTTAGAATACATAACGATTTATGCGTATCCATGAAATGACGGAATAAGAAACTTAAGAGGTATGTTCATTCTCATCTGTGTCGTACCTAACAGAATTTATACGATAGCATCACGTCAACCGCAATAATGGTCTGAATTCTAGACTGTTCCTTGTAGCAGTTCCTAAATTGTGGCCAACAGAAAGCATTTGAGAAAAATAAATACTCCGGATATGTATTTTCAGATTATCGTTTCCGTTTACGTATTTTTCTAAAGCAAGCAAAAGCATCTGTTAGTGTTTTTGTTTTAATTCTATACAATATCATACCATATACACTATCCACGCAACGCTTAGCAGGATATCCAATCTATACGACAATCTTCATTAGCAGGCATATATCAACAATAACATAAATCCATCTTGACCTACGAAATTGCATCAATCTCCACTGGACAAAAACATATGTAGCTGACACTGGCAATGAAATCATTGACAACCTCGCAAACGAGGCTACAAAATCGCGGATATTCATGCTATTCCACTAATTCAACAAAAAAGCTCGCACCCTATGATAGGCAGATGCACACATTACCACATTCCAAAAGCAAATATGCACCAGAAGATCTAACTTTAATTAACACGTTAGACTAGCGGACATAGTTGTATTTATTTCTACGTATCTCGGATTGCACTGACTACTACACTGACCTTTCAATATGTGATAAGCAAAGCACACCGAAGCAGTACGTATAACAAGCTGCCAAATAGCAGAACTCCATGAGCAATTCCCGAACAACAATCCGTAAGCATTCAGCTAGCATCTAATTAAGAAAACATCAAGTAATATCACGTAATAAAGAAAATCTGCAAGATAACGTACGTGCTAGGTTGTGTACCAATATACCAAAGAGCAACAATAAAACCTAAGTTAAGCAAAATAAACCCGTGGTTTGGGTATCAAGAAAACTGGGCACCACAAAATTGTACTTACAGACCAAGGAAAGGAGGCACCATAAAAATTTCTCACTATTGGTTTTGCCATGGAATATACGGGCATATAAAACCAAACCCGAGAAAGAAGAAAAGGACAAACGGATAGGTGTTATATTGTAAATGTATGATGGGGAACCAAAATCTTTTAAGTGGTTAGGGCATCTGGAAGTCTTAAAAACTGGCCCTGAATAAACTCAGGGCACAACAGATGCAACAGCATCTATTCTTCCACTGTAAAAGTGAGGTTGCGGAGCAAAACCGACTAACTCCGTTCTCCATCAAAAGTCAAGAACTCTCAAACTGTAGTTTATAGATTCCAGGATGATCGTGTTTTAACGTTCAAAGGTCCTCTGGTTATTTTTTAAACTAATTGATTCCATAAAAAAAATAAAAATATCTTTTAAGAAAACGATTAGGAAGCTCGGTAAAATGCCTATCGCATGGAAGTGTCCTCGAATTCGAAATTCGATTTGCTCTATTTTTATTTTATATTTCCTATTCTATTCTATATTTACTTATCCAGAAAATATTCAAAATTCGAATGGTTTCCTCACTAAAAACAAAATCTTAAATCCATCTAAATTGGAGGCTATCTGCCATACTGATTGAATCTCAGGAGAACTGACATTCATTTTCATAACACAAACCTTTTATTAAAAACATATATTTAGGTATAAAAAATTACTTTTCTAAGACAGCCGTCATTTTAAAGGTATTTTGACCTCATTACGTTTTATGTCAAAACATTATCACAACTCTGGTGTTAAAAATTGCCATTGACATAATGTACACAACTCCTGTTCTGACTGTAAACCGTTTTCTCTAAGCACGCATGTCGTGATGGACAGAACGGAAACAAAAAAGAAAAATGATTCGCTCTGTTTCGATTAGGCTTTTCCTGTTATTCAATTTCAGTTCTATTGTACAGTTCAGAGCAAGTTTTATTCCGCTTGATTGATTATTGTGCCGCTGCTCTCTGAACATAAAGCAAATTTTGGACGTGAAACTGATCACAAATTAAATTTCTCTACAATTACTAGGGCAATCCGCTATGAAGAATTTAATAAGACGAACACAAAAATTACTTTTTCAATTTTCAAGGAGTTCTCAAACTTTTTTGCTATTTGCACCCACAAACGGTCGACTAGTACTGCATTAGGGGCCTTTACCCATTTAGCGAATCAAAGTCGTTCAGCTAGAAAGTAAATACTTAAAGCAGGATTCCATATCATTCTACAACGTTCAAAAGGACTGCCTAAGGGGAGGATAGTGAAGGATTTTTCTACGGGAAACTGGTTGGTAGTCACCCTGCACGTGGAGAAACCAAAAACAAACCATGCAGCCAAGACTGCTTTCCTGGGTTCGAAACCGGGACAAACAACTCATAATCTGTAACTTAGCCGCTCGGCCATTGATGAGGGGGAAAACCGCAAAAAAGGTTCTTTGAAGATTTCCAAAATTGCAGAGAACTGGGAAGTTCGGCATTTTTCATTACAGTTCGACTGGACTAGATTATTTAGATTACCGTAAAGCAGGCGAGAGCTATCTGCTTGACGATAGGAATGCCTTCTTGGGGTTTTTTTTTTAAGGTAAACTGGCTCGTATTGACGTTACAGGTGGGGAAATCACAAAACTTTCATGAGGCAAACCTGTTCACCGGGATTTGAACCCGGGTCGAAATAGCGGCGTTCAGCGATTTTACTGCTCGGCCGTTAGTATAGTTCGAAGAGACAGCAAATTAAAAATAACTCTGGAACACATAAGTTAATACAACTATTTAGTTTAATACACTTTGATTGATCAAATAAATATAAAGATTTAATACATTTTGATTCATGAAATATTATAGTATGAACATTTAAAACTGCATTCAGCGCAAAGCGTATACATTTGAATAAACTTGCGTCGTCAATATGTAGAGCATGAAAATAAATGCAATTTTGTCCTTACAGTGGCACACATTTGTTTTCGGACACCTGCATTTTAAAATTTATTTGCATAGATTCTGTAGTAAACATTGAAGCACAGACTCAAAATTTTTTCTTAATAATTTTTTTTTTATTTTTTTTTTTTTTTATTTTAAGACTTGCTTGTTGCAAAATAATTATCATTAATTTACTCTTTGGAATAAAATAGTTTATTCCAAAAGTGCTAATTAGTAACTCAATTAATTCGGACACTCGAAAGTTCTGTTGAGAAATTTCAGAAGACGATGTTTCTTGTTATATTTTTTCATTTTAAACAAAAATACATCACAGGAATTATCCTCTACATTTGAGAATTATTACTTGTTTCGTAAAATACATGAACAGTTCTGTATCTGAAGTGAACATGACAAGAAGCCACAAATTGACGATAAATTCTGTTCAGAATTTAATTATTCACGGATTTCAAGATGATAAAGAATCTGAGATTTATCCTATCAAAAATCAAAAAATTAATGCTGGAAAACTTGCAACGAATTCAGAAGAACGGCTTCCAATAAAAATTAAACCTGAAACAGAAGAGTCATTAGGATCCACAGATACAATACGAGCAAGAAGAAAATTCTTCGTCAACAACAAAACAATGAAATTACACCTCGCACTCCTAAAATCCATGCTAAACAAATATTTACCATATCGAAATAACGCTGTATTTAGAGATAAGTCAAAATTTAATACATATGGGTCCAATTGGACGAATTACTATGAGGTGAAACCAAATAAAGAACTGAAACGTATTGATTATTGACTTGACCTATTGAATTGTAACCTATTGACCGAAACACCTATTGATTACTGTTGCGCATGAAATTGGAAGCATAATAATTTGAGTATGTTTTCGGTTGTTTCGATGCCTCTGGGAATTAACTTTTCATAGAACATATGTAAATAATCTTAAAGAAAACTTGAAAGCAACTGCATCAAAATTTAGAATATATAATACACTCAAGTTCAATGAGGCTAACAAACCTAAATATAGAGCTCTAAATGCTCGTTTGTGGTCATTATACATCTGTCCTAAAGTTATCAGAACACCTCCATATTCTTTAGATTTAAACCCTACTGAACATGTATGTATATGGAGTAGGAATGAAACAAAATGAAAATTCTTCCCCCCCCCGAAAAAAAAGGTTTAAATCCATGCCTAAAAGTGTCATTTCAGCGAAAGAATATGTAACGAAGTAAATATAAACTGTTTATTCAAAGTGTTTAAATACTTGTGGCAGTTCATTTTCAGAATTTTTTGTAAATTTTTTTTTTTTTTTTTTTTTACCAAAAAGTCTTAGATTAACTTTTTTGAAAACAAGTAGGTTTTTGAAAAATGTGATCAATTGTATATACGAAATAAAATAAAAAAATCGCTTCAGCCCCCAAAGTGTTCGTCCACTTTAAAAATTTGCAGAAAAAGCGCTGTAACCCAGAATTGAATTCGAATATAAAGCCCAATAATTTTTCATATCATCTCCATGTGATTTTGAATAATACCAAGCTTTTTAATTTTTAATATAGACTAATTTTCTTTTTCTAAAATTGAAAATGTAAGAAGGCATAGATAATACGTGCCATAAAAGTGATCGCACATCGAAACATTTTCGTAAAATTATCGTCTAACACTTTTTTTTTTTTTTTTTTTATTTTTTGCAGTTTGGTGACGTTTAAAAAACCGTTTTGCTTTATTTTTTGCTTGCTTACTTCGTCATATTTTATTTAATATTTAAAAATGACTCTTAGTCGTAAGGAAACGACGAACATCATTCGAAAACTGATAATTTTTCATCATAAGGGTGGACATTTTATTCGGGATATCGCTAAATTAGTAAATTTATCCCATTCTACGGTCCAGTATGTGATAAAATGCTTTAGAGAAGAAAATCGGAAGCAAAGTATGAACAGGTTGTCCGGCGAAGAGGACTTTACATGATCAGACATTTAATAGATAAAAAAATTGTGAAAGATCTACGTTTCAGTACTGTAAAGATTTCTACAGAACATACTGAAACATCTTCAATTTCACTTGAAACTGTTCGACGAGTCCTACATGGGCGCTCTGCGTTAGAAAAATTTTTAGAAGTGCAAAAAAGAGAAAGCTTAGGCTTTTCTCTGCAAAATGAATGGTAAATTAGTCCGAAGCGTATTAAAATCATGTCCTATGCGCAGATGAAAGCAAATTTAAATTTATTAATTTTGGTTCCGATGGGCGTATAATTTGTACTGCGGGAAAAAAATGAGGAACTTAATCCCAAAGATCTTGGTTGGAATAGTAAAGCATTGCGATGGAGGTGTCCCTTTTGTGAGGGTGCATGTCAGCATCAGGACTAAATAATTCAGTATTTATTGATGGCATAATAAACCCTGCTCTTTATTTAAATATTTTGAAAGATAATTTAAAATTATCCGCCCAAAATTTGGGTACCGGAAACAACTTAATTTTTTTTTATCAGGGTAACGATCCTAAGCAGACGGCCCTCAACGTTCGCATTTGATGTGTTTATAATTGTCCACAAGTTCTGAAAACACTACCTCGGTCTCCAGATTTAAACCCCATAGAACACATATGGAGAGAATTAAAGGTTGAAATATAAACACACAACATTAAAATAAAAATCGAACTAAAAACAGTAATGATGGAAGAATGGAGGAACGTTGATGCAGATATTACAAAGAACTGGTGAACTCTATGCCCAGATGTTTGAAAGCTGTCATAAATGCTGCAGAATATCCTACAAAACACTAACTGACAGAAATACAAGAAAGTTTACTAATATGTGCAGATTTCTTTAAAGTGTACGAAGACTTTTGTGAGGTAACCTTTTCATTACTGATTTCCCCCCCCCCCTCCGAGAAAACAGTTTTCCTATGTTGATAAAATAATTAATGTAGTTTTGTAAAAGAAATCTACAGATGCTATTAAAAATTCTCCTTCTAAAATATTAAATTTTATTAACGAATGAAGCAATATTTCACTGAAACTCGTAAGTGTACAAACACTTTTGGGAGCCACTGTATTTTGTAATTTGTATTCTCACATAGTACATCAGAAGAATACATGTGTCCGGAAACAAATGTGAGACACTATATATTATACTTTTGCTCACATATAAATACAGTTTTACAATAGTTTCATTTTGAGAAAGAAATAATTAAAAAATAATAATTATAAACCATAAAAACAACTGGCACAAGATTCTAGCCCTTATCTAAAGTTAATTCGAAAAACGTTTATGCAAATCATTCACTTTCAAATATCACAGTTTTTATTATGCAACTTTTTTTACTTTCTAAAGTATTGAATGTACAGAATTTTTCACTTTTAGCGCAGTTACTCATTAAAACAATAAAAAAAATTCATTTTAATTGACGGTTTGTGGCAACACTTTCTGAAAATACTGCACTAGCAAACACAACAGAAAATGATGATGTAATTCTCGCTTAAATTCTTAAATATTTGATGATTATCGAACTAGGCAGAACCGCCATTTTATCTTTCATTTCCAGTATGCTGGAATATGTAATCGCATGAATAATAACAATATGATAAGTAACAGATATAAGTTTTTAGTTAATAAATTCTATCACAATGAAAAAATAAATAAAAAAAGGGGATTACTCATGAAATCAGATTGTGGCAAAAATAAAACTGGAATGCCAAGAAGATTTATTTACTTTCAACTCTGACAGCCACACATTTTTTTTGAATTTAGAATTCTTTTCATACTAATGGTTGCCAATCGCGATAACTAAATCAGCAAATCTCTCTTTTTCGCTGCTCGCAGTGTTGCCAGATTATTTTAAAACTTCCTTCGCACAGAAATCTTTAATTAAATACTGAAAAATACTGAAATAAAATTACAATACACTAAACTTACACTTCTGGAGTTCTTCAATTTCAGCACCTTCGTCATCGGATTCGGTCCCGGAATCTCTATCATCGTCTGTCTGTTCGAATAAAAAGATAAAAAAAAAAGGCTACATTAGGAAAATGAACATAATAAAAATCAAACATTCGGCATAGAAAGAACATGTTAGGAAATAACCAGATTTTAGCACAAATAATAAACAGATATCTTTAAAAAAAAACGTAATTTAAAGGATACTGGATTTTTATCCCATTCTCCAGTGCTACTAATATTAAATATCTGAATTCTCACAATAAATGCGTATGATAAAGAAATAAAATAAATCCAGCATAATTGAAAATTTAAGTATATTCGTTATTGCAGCAATCATAAAGAAGCTCGTTAATTTTAAGTAGCTTAACATTCTTTCACCAGCGATTCTGAAGCATCTTAAACAAGGATTATAATAATATATTCTTTTTTAAATTCAACTTAAGAGCCAATTAATTTGCAGCAATGCCTTAAGCAATAAAAGCAAAGAACAATAACATAAAAACTTTAACTCTTGAAATTCCTTGAAGGATTTTGTAATCTTACTTTTAGCATTCTTAAATTATAGCCTTGCAAGAAATGTTTACCCTAAAGCAAACAATAAGCACATTTTAATTAAGTACAAAATTTTCGAAAAATATTTGTAAAGCAAGAATTAGGTAGCATATTAACACGGATTAGCATAATGTACTTCTGAGATGGAGATTCTTCTAGATATATTGAAACCGTCAGATAACAAACACACGTAATTTCATCAGATAGCAACATATCAGCTCATATTTCAGGGAAAGTTTCTTAACAGTTACTTGATACAGACACCCGTTCAATGACGTGTAATACTTCTTTCTTTCTTTCTTATTTTTTTAACTCGTCAACGTAAAACGTGTTTACAGAAGGAGATAGGGAATATTTCCCTAACTATGCCAAGATGCCCTCTCGACAATACATTCATATTTTATTAGTTATTTGAGAATCGAACTTCTCTAAAATTTTTTTTAAATGTTCGTCTGCGATTTTTTATCCAACTACTTTCCATATTGAATTCATTTACGTTCTTTTACGCACCAAGTTCTGTAATTCTAGCTTTCAAGCTCCATAATACTTTTTTTTTTTTTTTTTTTTTTAATCCAGCAATTGGATTTCAGTTGCCAGTGTCAATATTAATGGGAGAAAATTTTAATTCAATCACAGTAGCATGAAGAGGTTTTTTTTAACAAAGGCTTTTGTTGTTTCTGAATTCCTGAAACCTGCTGAGAAAAAACTTCTCTTATACTTAAAACTGCTGTTTTGAAATAGCAACTGTCAATATCAGAAGTATTTTCTTGGCAATGCTTTAACAGGCTTGGAAAGTGACTCAAAGTTTTTCTTACAAAATCTTGAGCAAATTCATGTGAAATAACTTCTAACATCGAAAAAATTATGTTGCCTTTCCCCTTCCTTTCAAGCTGATTTAGATGAGCCTCAACGTTTACCATGAAAAAAAAAATGTTTGGATTCACTTGACAGTTCGTTAGTTCTGGATAATCAACACGCTTTTCTAGGAGAAATGCTTTAATTTCTGTTAATAAGGACGCGAAACGTTTCCTCTTGATAACCAACGTACTTTGTTATGCAGCAGATCTGAGTACGCACTCCCCATTTCAACTAAAAATTCTTTAAACTGAAGATGATTAAGAGCTTTAGCTATAGTGCAGTTGATAATCTTAATCACCAAGTCCATAACTTTGAAAATTTCTGGAAATATATGGTCACAAAGTGCTTCTTGATGAATGATACAATGCTAAGTAAGTATTTTGTGACTGAATTCCCCCCCCCCCCCAAATAGCAACAAACCTGCTTTTTAACCCCCCCTCCCGTCTGTTGCAATTGAGAGAATTTTATCGAGCGCAATACGATGTTTTTCAATGCATCCAATTACACCATTTGCTATATCCTCTCCACGTATTTGACTTTTGAATGGCAATAATCCTAAAAGTTCTTTGGGACCTGTAGATGAACTGCGCGATATCATTTATGTCACAATACTGGTCAACTGCTATTGATAAAACTGAAACCAATTTAAGACCTTCGACTTGCTGATTAGTTATATTCGAAGACATTTTGACTGTTCTATCTTTCACTGTTTTAGCAGACAATAGCAACTCCTTTTTTTAAAATATCCGTTTTGTTCTTAAAATATCGAAATAGCTCTTCGGATGCATTTACAAAACAACGTTTTACTCGTACGTATTCGCTATCTGTATATGGTATCTCTCTTTTAGCAATCTCTTGACTAATTACAAAACTTGCAGTATTAACATTATTGGAAGACTGCATCCAGTAATTAAATACAGAACTTGATTTTTGACTTTTCTAAAGTTCAACTCATTTCTTCTTTACATCACCGATAGGGTTATTTAGCCCGAAATGATGCGTGTTTAATTGTAAAGTGTCTCTCCACAATTGATTTCTTGTTATTAACCAATGTTTTCCTGACAAATACGAGACGTCGGAAGGTCATCTGAGTTTTAAATAAACGCGAAAGCCTCAGTCCATTCAACTTAAAATTCACGGTGAATCTCATCTTCCGTTTTTCTTTGCTCTTCTCTATAGCCATGTTGAGACAAGAAAGAACAGAGCCAGAAATGAGAAATGATCAAGGACTAGGAAACATCAGTTGGGCAAGAAAATAACAGTACCCCGGGTGACAAGGAAACGGGAAATACGCGTTTAACCGACACCACCGAGACTTCGGTTTAACGCCCATGAATTCATACCCCCTTTAAGGATTTTAAAATAAAAGAGGGGGACCTCTTGCATTAACCACTCCACAACAAGCCTTCTGACTGACTAGCTCATAACAGCATACTATATGTATAGGTAATAACACTCACTCAACTCGTGGATGAATTGCGCGCGCATCGCTTGGAGGTGGGAGAACCTCGACTCAGGCAAGGCGTCGGTTATAAAATTAATACGTCGCATTGACAATCAATATCAGTGTTATTCTTGTCTGTACAATTGTACTGAAATCAGTGCCCATCAGCAATACATCAGTAAAAATCTTAATAGAATCAGTACAATGGTAGTTTTAACTTGATATATCAATGTAAAAATGAAATTCAGTGTCAAAATATCTGGGTTTTTAGACATTTCCGATTTGAAGTTTTTTCATATTATACGCAAACAAAACATCGTCTATGTATTTTATGTTACCTAAATTCAGTTGCTAGCAAACGTTTTATTTCAGACACTAGAAAAAAACTTCAAATCTGAAAGATCTAGAAGCTAAAAATTCTGATATTTTGAAACTTTGTTTCATTTTTACGTTGCTTGAGTTCTCATTCAAGTTAAAATAGCCAATGAATGGTATATTGATTCAAAGCATTTCATTAGATAAAATTTGGCATATGACAATTACTACGACAGCACAATTTACGCTGGCGGATATGATCTCAATTGTTTCATGCTTGTGTAAAATTTGACGGCTTTTGTGTTGTAGTTTCGAGATTTTCTTGCTTATAGTGATATAAACTATATTCTGTTAAAATAAAATCGAAGGTGTATGGTGTACTTAATTATGGCAAAGCACACGAGGGCTATCTGCCTAAGGGGAGGGATGCCTTCGTGGAGGACTTTCTAAGGGAAACTGGCTCGTATACACGTTACACATGGGGAAAACCACGAAAACGCCCATGCAGCCAGCCCGTTCGCAGGATTCGAACCTCGGACCGAACTACCAGTGTTCAGCGCCTTTACCGCTCGGCCGCTGGTGGGCCATAAAATCGAAGGAATTACCACCATATTTGCCGGCGTATTAGACGCAATTTTTTCCTTTGAAAATAGGTCTAAAATGGTGAGAGTCTAATACGCCGATATTCAGCGTTTGATTACATTTATTTCTGAACATTTTGTCTAATCGGAGGTTGTGCGGTTTTTTTTTTTTTTTTTTTTTTTTTTTTTTTTTCTTGTTTCCTTGCAGAGTGTGGGAATATTACACTTACGTAGAGTTCATCCTGCACTGTCATCGACGATCACAACTGCGTTCATTTAAACTTTCCAGTTTTTGTGAACGACGTTGAAGTGAGTGAAATTTCTACAGTTCAATTTTCTTAAATTTGTTATTATTTCTCAAAAACAACACTGGCACTGCTATAACAATTTGTTGTATGAGGACTCGGATGCTCATTTAGAAGATGTTTCAAATGCCTCTTCATTTAGCTCTGGAGATGAATGTTCTGGGTTTTGACGAAGAAGATTAAAAGGTGTTCTTTCCCAGATAGATTGCGTACTCACAGAAACTATTACTTTATGTTTAAAATACTGTAAATTCATTATAATGATGAGTAACAAAGTTTCATCCTTCAAAATTGTGTATAAAAAAGAGAGTGCGTCTTATACTCCGGCAAATATGGTACGTGATTTTTCTTTTTTCCCCTCATGAAACGCAATTTTAGATTTGTTCTTTTCTTCAAATTAGTCATTCATTCAAAAGTTATCATAAATTACCAACCACCCTTGAAAAACTAAACAAACGTCTTGATTATGCGAAATATTAGTTTGTTATTCAAACACAACAAACGTCTTGATTACGTGAAATATTAGTTTGTTATTCAAACACAAGAATAAAATGTTTACCAGAATAACACCAATTTTAGTAATCACACCAGAATTATTCCACAAAACAAAATACACTAAGAAATGTGTTACGAATAACTCAAAAAGAACTTGGACAGCCTTCAAGAATCTTAACAAACATCGTAAATCGAATGACAGATTTTTGCATAAACATAAACAGGGGCAATTTGCATCTGACCTACATCGTGACGAATACCAGAATAGTTTGCTTCATCAGCGCCAATTGCACGTAAACTTGATGACGCAGAACTCGATTTTCATCTCCTATCTTAAAAGATTGGCAAAAGAAATATTTACGGAGATTTTTAACTACCAACAAACATCATTTACAGCCTTCAGATTCAAATAAATAAAACCAATCTGAAAGCTTTCAGATTTTATTTTATTTTTATTATAAACGTTTCGTGTGTTTATTTATTGAATATCACGTTC